AGAGTGAGCACGGTCTTGATCCCAAGGTGCCGGCAGACGAGCTCATATGCCCTAACAAAGTCAATTGCGTTGGGGTGCAACTGCGAAGGCGTCATCCTCAGCCAGTCAAAGAACCTCATTTAAAAATCTGATAAGGGAAGTCGGAGTCCCGCCTCCCAAAAGAAAAATTCATACATGGGAAATCGCATCTTCCCATAGCTCGAGCATATCCGATAGTGGGCCTGCAGCCTGTACACTTTCCAATTCACAGTGGAACCCTCACGACAATCCTCGACCGTGGCAAACGCGTCGGAGTCATCCTCGATAAAACGAGAAGGCGTACTCAAGGGCTCCTCTCCAACCCAATCCTCGACTATCTGATTCTGCCCCTTGACGGGTGGGGCCGCCGGACACTCTGGTTCTTGGTCGACTTCTATTACTCCAGGTATCCATGCAGCCATATTTCACCTGAAAAGTAGAGGAAAATGGTGAATTCGACGTTTAACATCAAATCCACCCTTCCACCACAACTCAAGTGAAAGAGCGAAAGGGAAGACATCTACGACCTAGGCTCCTTCAACCTCGACATCTGCTTCCCCCGCGTAATTTACTATCGTATATCCCCGGGGCATTCATCTATATCCCTAGGGCATTCATCTAGACCTATCATATGTCCCCAGGGTACTCATCCAGACCTATCATATGTCCCTTGGGTACTCATTCAGCCTTATCATATGTCCCTGGGGTGTCCATCTAGAACTATTATGCGTCCTTGGGAGCGTAATCCTAGGCCCACCCTTGGTCAAGGGAATCCCGCTGTAATCGTCGGAAAACCCGCAGCCTCCTCGGGACACTCATCGTGTCCACTGCAGGAGTTGTCGGAAAATAAAGAAATAGAAGGAATGGATGAACAGACTTACTTGGTACAGTAGTTTGAGGAGAGATAAGGCAGACTTCGCGGCGGACGGTACGACAACAACGATTGTACGACAACGTAGACGGTGGGGGAGCAAGAAAGATTTCGTTCGTTAGGGTTGGGAGCCAAAAGTGACAAAGGGGCAGGCCCCAACCTATTTATAAGCCTAGCATGGAACTCGAAGCTCCCCTAGGCACTCAAGCATCCCTACAGCTAACCGCCTTAGGAGGGACAATTGACACCTGACACGTGGCAACCGTGACTGACCGTGCCCCTTCATTTACCCTCGAGCTTAGAAAGCTAATGCCCGATCATCTTTCGCCTCCCCAACGTGATGTTCTGATGAGCACGACTCTCGATCCCATCTTTCAGGCACGAGACCACCTTTCCCATTTATCCTCGACATAGGCTTATCCTTAAGTCGTCACTCCTCCACCTCGGAGCAACGACTTAGAGGGCTCCTGTTCTGGACTAGGCCGGGACCTGCCCCTCAGTCGGGCAGACCCAACCCAACGCTATGTTGAGGAGGCCCAGTAAGGCCTAATCCTCCCATGTCGGGCACGAGCCTCAACAAGGCATATATGTCGGGCAGACGACCCCCTTGACGGGGAGACTCACACGTTTCCCCCACATGCTCCCCCACGCGGGGACATGTCATCGGGCAACTACCCACCTCCGAAAGAGTTGGTCATCCCACCTTCCGAAGATCACAGGACATTTGATCTAGGGCGAAGACCACATGCTGGTCTTCACTACATCACGTAAGCCCTGACAGTTATTTGGGTTGCGCCTGGCAGTCTGGCCTAATACAATGTAATTGTTGGCCTTGCGCTGGGGGCACACTATAAATACCCTCTTTCACTAGAGGGTCAGGTAACTTCTTCCTCACACCTAATCTCTGTGTTTTCTCTCTCTCTCTCTCTCTGATTCTTTACTCACGTAAGCATCGGAGTGCCTTGCAGATACACCTTTTCTTTCTCCACAACTCCGGTGGAATCAACAATCCAACAACGTGTGACAGACCATTGATTCTTTCTAATCAGGTAAGATCAAAAGGTAAAATTTAATTAAACATAAATTAATTCTATTATTAATTTAAAATATCTCCATTTTAAATTCGATTTGGGTCTCACAATTAATTGAACCGACCTTGCTCTTTAGAAATCACTTATAATAGAGTTATTGTTTAACGTTAAACCATTTATTAACGTATAATGCATCACATGAATTTTTTAAAATATATTTTTTTTAGATGCATCTTCGATTGTAATTTAATATATATATATATATATATATATATATATATATATATATATATATATATATATATATATATATATATATATATATATATATATATATATATATATATATATATATATATATATATATATATATATATATATATATATATATATATATATATATATATATATATATATATATATATATATATATATATATATATATATATATATATATATATATATATATATATATATATATATATATATATTATTCGTTTTTTTAGTTACATTTTAATTTTATGAATAAATTTATTTTGAAAACGTATTTTAGAAAAATTTCTAAAAATATATTTTCAAAAATTAATAAGTATGTTTCTTTGCATTGTTTTTCATTTTTATGTCTCTATTAGGTAAAACTAACTGATAGTTGATAAGTTAATTGATAATTGATGACTAATAGTTAATAACTTATAGCCGATGACTTTTATATGATAAACTAATTTGAGTGTTTGGTAAATTAGCGGTTACACTAATTGATAAATACGTAATGAAATAAAAGAGTATTCTTAATTAAAAAAATAGTGATCCTATTTATTAAATTAATTTTTATTCAATAAAAATATACATATTAATAATAAATGCAAAATATTTTAAATATAAATATAAAATTAAACATAACACAAAAATATATTAAACACTTATATATAAATTTTGTAATGAAATTTAAATATCTAAAATAATAATATTGTAATTTGATCTTATATTCCAATGAAGTGCATATTTCCTTCTTTTTCTCTCTCTCAAAATCCATGATATGCCTACTAATAAACAAATATAATCAATCATTCAGTATTATATTTATAAAAATATACATTAATAATAAAAATTCAAGTAATAAATAATTAAAACAATAATTTAAAAGTAATTAAAAAATTCAATGTAATGAGTCAAAATATTCCATTAATAATAAAATGGAAGATAACTTGCATCGTGAATTTGTTCAATAGAAATAACCACAAATATTTCTTATTCCTTCCACTAAAACATAATTATTTTAATTTAAATCATAATAATATAAAGAGTAAAAATGAATTTTTGATAAAATTGTGAGGGTACAAATAAAAGAAAAAGTCTTAAGCTAAAAGCTATGAGCTCAAAATCTACTTTAAGACTCTGTTTGGTAAGATATTTTTTGAGCTTATAGCTTATGGCTTATAACTTATAAGCTCATATGACAATAAAAAACCTGTTTGATAACGGTATTTTCATCACAAGCTTATAGTTTATTTTTTATACGCTATTTTAAATAGCATTTTAGCTTATAGCTTATAACTTATCATTTTTCTTCCATTTTTACCCTTATTATTTTAACTAAAATCCACCACTATCCTTTATAATTTATTATAATTTAAAATAAAATAAGAATTATTAAATATTTTTTATGTCATTTTATTTTATTAGCTAATTAAATCGCTAATTTTATCAAACACTTCAATTAGTTTATCACCTCGTCATCAACCATCAGCTATAAACTATAAGTCATCAGCCATCAGCTATAAACTATAAGTCATCAACTATCAGTCATAAGCTATCAGTTAACTTATCAAGCAACCGCTATTATTACCAAACTAAGCCTAAATAACTTTTATAAGAAATTAAATATTAATAAAAAAGTTAAATTAAAAGGTAAATATATATAATTTTTTTTAAAATTAATATAAGTTAAAAAGATATCTATACAATATATAAAAGGAATACTTTGTTTTGATGTGACCTATTTTTCTATCATTTTTATCCTTATTTTATTGTGTAATTTACTTAATAACTTTTTATTATTAACTTTAAAATAACTTATTATTTTTAACTTTCATATAATTTTTTATTATTAAATTCCACATATTATATTTTTTTAAAAATTTATTTTAACAAAAATATCGTTTATATTTTTATATGCGCATTAAAAAAGTGGACAGACGGGCACGCTAGTAAATTATAAACTAAACTTTTTTTTCTTACTAGAGTATCTTTAAAAATGGTCTTAACATTATCGTACAGTGATTACTATGTAATTAATAAGTACATGGCTAAGAGCATCTTTAATGGTAGTAAACTAAATGGGTAAACTAAAATAGTTTTTGTGGGCCTAAAGTGTTTTGTAGGATTTAAAAAATTTATAGTTGATTTGAATAGTTTTTACTTTAATGATGGTTGTCTATAAGAAACCAAAACTTGACCCACCTTTATAATCTTTTATTCAAATTACCATTAATTTTAATTACTTTATGCCGTTGGAATATTTTATTAATACTAAATAATATTATAATATATTTTTCATTGAATAATTAACTTAATTATATAGATGATGAAAACTAAACTTTAGTTCATTAGATGTCATGTCAGTTCTACTATAATGTAAATTCTTTATTACTAATGTAAGCTATACAGAATTTTGATTTAACAACCCTGCGCTAAAGTCGCTCTAAGAGTATCTTTAATTTTGACGTTAAAATTGCATTAAAAACTTACCAATTTTATATATTTTTATATTTATAAATAATCTTAATTTATTAAGCCTATCCGACAAATTTGACCGAAATGGAGTTTACTGGGATCCATTAATTAACTCCCGTGTTTAACCCTATCCACCTCATTACAACATACTAGATAAATCCATTTAATCATCGTCATCATCTACTCATCATCATCATCATCATTACAACTGTAATAGCAGTTTCAACCTCCAATAACTCTTTTTTACTGTTTCAAAAAAAAACTACAAAAACCAAAAACTCTCTTCTCTGTTTTCACTTTTCTCCCGTGAGCATCCATTTTTCATTCAGAGAAAAAGAAAATTAAAAATGTTAGCGGTTTTCAACAAATCTGTGGCCAAAAGTCCCGAGGGTTTACAGAGTCCCGAATCAAACTCAGTTTCATCACTCAAAGATGATTTCTTGGGTCAACATTTCGCATCTCTTCACCCTTCTTCTGTTAACCTTAACCTCGCTTCTTCCGCTTTCTTAGCCTATTCTCTTCACAATAACAACCCATTACTTCCAAGGTATAAATTTCGAACCTTTTTCCTATTTATGTTCAATTGCTCGTTCTTAGATTGTGATTTTAATTTTTTTTTTTTAATATGGGTATCTTTGAAGAGATCAAAGTTTGAACCTTTTTTGATTTTGTATGTCATATACAATAAATGTTTTTTTCTAGCCTTTTGATCCATTCAACATTTGGTGATCACTATATTGTTGTCTTTGTACGGTGTAAATATGTTTTTCTGTTTTATCTTGTTTAAGGTTGTTTTTGTATATGATACAATACAATGATGTTTCTCTTATTGTTTGTTCTTAGATCTTAACAATTGTATATAGTTTGTCTTTTGTCTATTGTCTTTATATCTGTAGCTTTCTGCAGAATCATTTGTTAATCTTTATACCATGGCCTGATGGCCTTCATCTGCTTCCTGTGATTGCAGGCTGTTTGCAGTTATGGATGACATCTTCTGCTTGTTTCAAGGCCACGTCGATAATGTTGCTAATCTTAAACAACAATATGGATTGAACAAAACAGCAAATGAGGTGACCATTGTCATAGAGGCTTACAGGACGTTAAGGGATCGGGGTCCTTATCCTGCTGATCAAGTTGTGAGAGATTTCCAAGGCAAATTTGCGTTTATCCTGTTTGACAGCAGTTCGCAAACTGCCTTTGTTGCGGCTGTGAGTAATCGTAGGGTTTATATTTGTTTTCCATGTTATATTTTCCAATACTTTTCTGCTCTTACCTGGCATGCCATTGCGGCTGTTTTTAGGATGCTGACGGGAGTGTTCCTTTCTTCTGGGGAATTGATGCTGATGAAAGTTTAGTTCTTTCAGACGAGATCGATATTGTTCGCAAGAGCTGTGGCAAATCTTATGCTCCATTCCCTAAAGGTAATAGCATGATTTAATCAGTTCAAAAAATAAGATTAAACATGTTCAACTAGATGAACCTCTAAGCAGGACTGTCTTTGAGGGTACGAGTTAACTTCACTTTCTTACTCAGAATCTCTCAAAAGTTTGAGACAACTCTGCCTTTAAGTAACCAAGTGGTTGAGTGCTAGTTATTAATGAGTTTCAGTATGTGTTTGTATATGTTTAGGATGCTTCTTTACAACATCGGGAGGTTTGAGGAGTTTCGAGCATCCACTTAACGAGTTGAAGCCCATACCAAGGATTGATAGTTCTGGTCAGGTGTGCGGTTCAACTTTCAAGGTGGATGCTGATTCTAAGAAGGAAGCAATTGGCATGCCAAGAGTTGGAAGTGCTGCTAACTGGTCATCTAATTACTGATTGCAACTCTAGTTTGTTTGAACTATTTAAGCATCAATCTGTTCCTTTTGTTCTCTGGTGAGGCTTGCAATGATAAGTAGATACTTTCTTTGCACAGATGATGTATAATAATATCGACTTTCACATTAGTTTTTCATGAAATGTTGACTATTTGATGTTTTTATTTGATCGTTTTAACTCCTACATAAACTGTTAATGTGATAAACATATGCTTAAATTGTGCCAAACAATGGATGTGATGCTAAGAGTAAGTTTAAGTGATAATTGAGCTTACTAGAAAATGTAAACCAAAATAGATGGTTACCTTGGAGGATCTTAAAGTTAGTGATAGCAAGAATTAACATGGTTATTACAATAAAATGATATTTTCAAGGCTGTCTTTGAGGATGTGTATGACAAATGTTTTTGAGGATGTGCAAGACAGATTATTGCATATGACTTTAAATTTGTTAGAGTTAAACTATAATTAAATAGAATTTTATAAAATATTTGTCAGATTAAATCGTGATTAGATAAGATCTCTATTTTTTCATGTTTAAATTGTGGCTAGTTTATACAGGATTTGAGTTGATAAAATATTTACTAGATATTTACTAAACTAAAATGTTCTCAGTAAAAATACAAAAGTAAAAATTACGAAAATTACAAGGAAGGAATATGCATACTGTTAAAGCTCTTATTTGATATTTATACACCGTATACTAATTTTAAAGTTTCAGGTTTCGAGTGCTTGCAAGATTGATAAGTGCCCTTACAAACAAAAACAACTATTTTGGTGTATTTTAAAAAGAATTGTAAGAGGACATTAGTATAAAGGATTTGGATTCTTAGCTGTTACTTTTTTTAAGCAATATCAGAATTGGACCTTCCGTTTCAGAATGAACAATCGGGATTTCATACGGTGGGAAACTATTGAGATCTGCACTGTATATTTAGAGCATTTGGATTGCTGATTGGCAATAGAGATTTATTATGGGGTTACTTTTCTCTTTCTGGAATGCAAGTTTACCATAGTGAAAAGTCATAAAAAATTTTAGATTTTAGAGATGTATATTCAAACGTATTTAAATTATACATTCTAACGATTTTCTGAATAAACTATTCTATGTTGTTCAAAAAATGTCTGGAGATCTATCTCCCTATCTATATTAAGGTTAATCCGAAAGTGCATATTTGTAATAACCTTTATTTCAAAACACTAAAGAGTTTTATCTGTAATCATAAACCACAAATCAGTAACAGATGGATGCACAAAGTTGAAGAAAACCTTACTGATCTAGAGTGATCAGAATGGATCATCTTGGCCTTCAACGTACGGCAACAACAATGGTTGTAGAAGAGGAGGTGGTGTACCTGCAAAGTACTCCGGTGCCAAAGTAAGTTTTGTGAGGGCAACCCTCCTTTCTACATAGGTCGACCGCTCGTGCGTTTTCAGTTAAAATTCTGTTATGTGAAATTGTCTTTGTGGTTGTTATGTTGGTTAATTGTCTTTGACTTGCATATATAATGAGTTTTGCTCATTCTTCAAAACAACAAGAAAAGTGAAAATAAATACTCAATGTTCTCATCATCTTCATCCTCTTCCTTGCATTTTCTCAACAACTACACATAATCATTTTTGTTGTGCATTCTGCTTGTTAGAGGTGATAATGTCCAAACATAGGATTGGTGTAATCGGGTTTGGGTTGAGAATCAATAGGTTTTTCTTAAATAAAACCGTTAGGGTTTTGTCCTCCAAGAATCTTAGATTTTGGGGGATTTTTGCACGAATTGGTCCATCACAGATTCAACCAAGCGAAGGTAATCAAAGAATGGGTTGTTCTGCTGGTTTAGTAGCGGTAACCGGAGGATTGTGAGAGGAAGATTTGGGTCCGAAGCGTTAGTGATTGAAATCAGTCGGGTAAGATTTGAAGACTGTGAGATTGTTCAAAGGGTGTGCCGTAATTGGAGGTTTATTCACCATGTTTGAAGGACTTGATTCAGCTTGAATCAAGGGAAGAGAAGGAATATGCTTTGCGTCATCGTCTAACAAGTGGTATCAGGAGCACCAGTTCATTCCGTGCTTCACATATAACTTCTTAGAAAATGGCTAACGAACCAAAAGGGGCTTATAATAGAGCACCTGTTTTTAATGGTAAAAACTATAGTTACTGGAAAGACTGTATGCGTGTGCATATAAATTCCATTGACAGGAAGGTATGGAAAGTTATTTTGGACGGTCATATGGAAATAACCATGACCGATGAAAATAACATGATTATGTCTAAGCCTGAAGCACAATAGAATGATGAAGACGAGAAAAAGTACAATTACGATTGGAAGGCTAAAAATATTCTGATCTCCGCCTTGGGAGTTGATGAATACTATAGAGTTTCCCATTGTTTGACTGCTAAGGCTATGTGAGTCTCATTACAAGTTGCCCATGAGGGAACAAATGATGTCAAACTAACCAGAATCAATACTTTGACACAAGAGTTTGATCTCTTTCACATGGAGTAAGGGGAAACCATTGTTGACATGCAAAAGAGATTTTCTCACCTAATCAATAGACTAAATTCACTTGGTAGACCAGTTTCCAATGATGTTGCTACTAACAAAGTCTTAAGATGTATTACCAGAGAATGGCAACTAAAAGTCACCGCCATAAAGGAAGCAAATGATCTTATGACCTTGGGCCTTACAACACTCTTTGGAAAGCTTCAAGAACACGAGCAAGTGCTTCTTAGTTTCGAGAAATTTGAGAAAAGGGAAAAGAAGGAGAATACCAAAAATGTGTGTCGTACCTCGAAAAAAGCACGATCCTTTGCGAATGGTCGTAGAAAACAGAGTCGCAACCAAATTTTATTTATTCCAAGGTGGAATAGGAAAATATCGAGAAAACCTTTAGGTAAAGAACATGGTCATCGCAAGCAAGTTCTAGGTTTGGGAGTCGGTTACATTAGGGGAAGGTATTAGCACCTCTCACGTCCGTTGTACTCAACGGGAACCTCTTGATTTGATTCGTGAGAAATGTTAGGTCATATTGTTTGTTTTCTTCTAAGGGAATAAAGCGTAAAGGTAAGGTAAAAAGGTTTAAATTGCTACGGATAAATGAGTGATTTTAGATTAGGGTGCTCGCCAAGGATTGAGGTCACTGTGCCTATGTATCTTCACTTGTAAGAAGTGGAAAATCAGAGCATTCGTAGTTCGTGGGACTACGGGAGAAAGAAATAGGAGATTGCTTGCTAGGATCTCGCAATCCTATGCCTACGTATTCTCATTGACAAATGAGAAATCAGAGCATCTGTAGTTCGGACTTCTATGTCATTTAATCTAATTGTAGAAAACATTCATCAAGAACAAAAGAGAAAAGAGAGAAGGAAGTCGAGATAAATGGTGGACATGAGGATATTGATATTTGGTATATTTGTAACAACTTCTCTAATTTTCTCTAATTTAACTTTAATTTTCTTTAATTCTGATTTCTTTTATTTAAAGGTTATCTCATGTAACATGACAAAATTGGAAAAAATACATGGAGTTATTCAATTGCGTGAAGTTAGAAGAATTGGGTGTTGTAACGTTAAAGGTATAATTATTGCAATAGGGTGTCATTGGTTTTGATACAAAATTTTAATACACTGCTACTGTTTTGTTGATTGTGGTCGAGGCGAATACCCATACTGTTTTTATAGCAGGATTGTTTCGATTATTTTCCATAACACAAAGTATAATTGTGTTACTAATTGCTTCAATTATGTGTTTGATTTGTGGTTTGACTAAATTATGTTAATGTCGGATTCTGAGCACTGTGATAGTCTTTGTTATTGATGTTAATGTTTTAGTTTGCGACGGTTTGCATTTGAGTTTAATTGCATAATTGATTTAAACAGAGTTGTTCTGATGTTGTTATACTGCTACTTGCGTGTACGTTTTAAATGTTGTGTTTATGCTGCTTGGGTTACGGTGTCATGATAGAATATTTTGTGACTGATTCGTCTTCCTTGCGGAGAATGTCTTATTATTGTTATGAGAAAGACATTTGCTTATTATTTACTGATGATAACTTCTTCTTTCAGTATGTATTGTTGTGTGTTGAACATCATTACCTCTAGCTGTCGCGCTAGACTCATAAATAGTTCCCTAGATTTACACCATAACAAGTTCAGTTTTTCTATGTGCGTTTACGTAATTGTATCTCATTCTTGATGAGTATTATATGTGCGTAAAAAATGTGGTGCGGTTTATAGTTGTTGTTACTATGTGTTCAAGCTGTGGAATTTAAATATTGTCGGCAGCCTCAATGCGAAACAAGTTTCGATGGTGATACTCTTTTGATTACGGCGATACGAACTTGAAAATGTTTTGTTTTTTTAATTGTTATTTTGGTGTTGCAGAGTTCGTCGATTGAGGATTTTTTTTATTTGCTATTTTGATGACGGCAGGCGTGTCAATGTTCATAATCATAATCATGCTTTTATTTCCTCCACAATATTCTCTCCACGGTTACTAACCAAATTTTCATCAAGCAGCGTTGTGGAGGCCTTAGTTATGCATGACAATAATACAAACAAGGCATTGACACATTTCCTTAATGGCTCATCGTGAAACCTCATGACATATCTGTTGTAGGTATCATTTGTCTATAAAAAATGTGTTCCTTTTGTATAATGAAAAATTCTAAGTAATTGTCAAACATAGGTAGAGTAATAATGGCAATCTCTTATTGTCTGTTGTGGGATATTGGTTTTAGGGATTTGGTGTTTTTAGAGGGAACAAATACACATGATTATTACTCATTATTTTACTTGAGACATACCCTTTTTATGGTCAAAAAGTTATTGTAAATTATCCTTTTATTTTAAGTTTTGTCAGAATGCAATGCATCTTGTGTTCTCTAAAATTAGTGAAATGTGTATCAATGGCTGAGATAGATTATGCCATTACTTAGCATATGTTTGTTTCAGCAGTGCATTTATCAAACCCACTGGAAAAAAACCAGGTTGCTTTGTAGCTTCACATTTTCAGGCAGTAATAATGCCTCAGGAGCGATAGATGGAAAACACTCCCTATTAGAGCATAAGTATCGTCTGTTGTTTATAAAGTTTCTACACAACAATCAAACCTACTGTGACAATTTCAATGGGTAATTGAACAAAAACATCGTTACTACATTCGCAAACATTGTTACATTAAACAACATAGTTGAATTGCCTTTCGCAAACGTTATTACATGAGAGAGCGTAGTTTAATTGTCAGCTGTAATTGCAACACTAATTATGGGATTTGATAGGATTTATTTTAGCATTTTTGATGGATTGTATAGATATTTGGAAAGTAAAGTTGAATTGTTTAAAATAATATAAAAAATTAAATATGATTCATTTAAAGAACTCAATTGGATATGATATAAGTCATGTTAAAAATGCATTGTTATTAATTTTAATCTGTGTTTTATTAGCAAACCATTAACCTTGCATATTGTTTTCCAACTTATAAAACTATAGTCTACTCTACTAGATTTTGAACTATCTGGTACCAATTTCATAAAAATTTGGTATGCTTGAACGGAAGAATGTGATAGTTTCTCATAAAATTACATCATGTAGGAAGTTATTCTCTGTTTCTGGTACAGGTGTGCCTAGGATAGTCTTGACACTAATATTGATCATATCCCATGCTATAACTTTATGACTAGAGCTAGCCTAATCTTCTTTAATAATGTGGGTGTTAGACTATATATGATATTTGGATATTATGTAGTATATTATAGTTTACTGAGCCGGATTAGTTATTTATTTATTTATTTTTCAAAATCTCTATCTTAGATTATCTTGCAAGATTAGCTTCCCTATTTTGTATGTATTATATTATTAATGTCATTTGAGTTTTATTATTAAGCTTACTTTTCATTGTTTTGGGTGCAGACAACTTACTTGACATCGCAAGAGAGTGTGGTATTCACAAAGGTACATTCTATATTTTAGTTGTTGTTTTAAGTTGGAATTTTTTTTTTATTTAGGACAAATATATGACAATATCATGAAGGGAAATGCTTATTCTCACGAAAGATTATTTCACGACAAACTTGCGATTGACAATATAAACAAGTGTATAGGGCATGCTTTTTTTAATTGAATTCTACATATTACAACTTTATGATATTCATAATATTTATAAAAAATTAGGAAGAATTATTTCTTTGAAATTTTGTATTTAGAAAGAGGATGAAGTAGATGGAATCACGTGAATTCAAGTTTTGGTGGGTCAAAATGATGATGTCGTGTTTTTAGACAACACAAGTGGGTGGTAATATATATAAAAAGAGCTGTATAATATTAATTGATTTGGAATTTATGGGAGAATTTTTTTTAAGAAGTAGAAGAATGATTATATGGAGAGTGAATTAATAATTAAACATTGTTGGGTAATTGTGAATTGCATTATGTCATATCGTATCTATAGTACACGACAAATTCATTTTTGTACACGACCCATTCATTTTTGTATTATAATTTTTTTAAATATTACATTTAATTTTACAGATAAAATAATATAATGGAAAATATCCGTAGTCAAGATTTAAGAGAGCGTCAAAGGGAAATACGAGCACAAAATGCAAGAGATCGAAGACAACGGATGAGTGTTGAGCAAAGACAACAAGAATTAGCTAGAAGGCGTTCGAATTACAGACAAAATAAAGACAAAGGGAAACAAGTTCAAACAGATAATACTTCTAATGTGAGAACCATAATGCCATTTCAAGACTTGACGAATGACAATCTTGCTTCTCAATTGTTTCCGATGGCACATGACAGTGAAGCTGAACCGAGTAATGCACATGTCAGTCGCATTCCATCCCCGGGTTAGAAACTTTAATTTTTGTTATACATTATGCTTTAACACATTAAATTTAAAAATATTAATTAATTATGCAAAAATGATTGTCTGGTCTATTAATTCAAAACTAATTTACAGATCAAAATTTTCCATGCCCAATTTTTCAACAAACTGATAACAACGAAGCAAGACCATCTATAAGAAATATTGATGGCAATGATTGTGGTAAGTATAATTCTGTCAATAGTAATCACATTAATAGTAATACATATTTAGATTTATACATTATTGTTATTTTAAAACTATAACTCTATATTGAAGTTAATACTTTATTTTGTAGAATCACCTTCGCAAAATATGAATCCAGCGGTTGAAACTCACGAAACACAGTCAGTTTTTGATCAAGGTACGATTATGTATTTCTAATCTATAATATATATTGTATGTTTTTATTTAAATTATACTAGCGTCCAGACGGGCACTCGTGTGCCTGTGTGCCCGCTTTTTAAATGCACACATAAAAGTTTAAATGACATTTTTTTAATATTAATTATAAATTTCATGTTAGTAAGCATGTATATAATAAGTATGCTTTTTTTAATGGATGTTTTAAATGTAATAAAACACAGAATCACGATATGTTTTTCAAGCAAGACATAACATTGCTAGAAATTTTCGAAATACTGTTATGACAATCAAATCCCTACTGCCTACTTCAAGTGAGTGTAGACGATGCACTACAAAAAAATTTCATAAAGAATCTCAAGACATGTGTTGCAAGGGTGAAAAGGTGACAATTACACAGGTGCCTGCTCCTGACGAGTTGTTACAGTTATTCTCAGACACTTCTACTGAAGGACGACATTTTAGACAACATATTAGAAGTTACAACCATGTAATGTCGTTTACTTCACTTGGTGTCCACGTCGACAAAAGTTTGGTTACAACTGGTCGTGGTATTTACACATTTTGTGCTCAAGGCACAATTTATCACAAAATAGGAGGTTTTCATCCGAATCAAGGTTCAAGGCCACGCTACTTGCAACTATACATTTATGATACTGATCATGAGCTTCAAAATAGGATGAGGGAAAACCCAACACTTAACCAAGCCATAGTGTATAAATTGCAAAAAATACTCCATCAATGCAACCCGTTTGTTATCATGTTTAGGCAGCTTGCACTAGAGCCAAATGTTGAAGAATGTAGGTTACTCATTAAAGAACGTCCGTCAAATCAGCCACAATATAGTCTCCCTTCAGCTTCTCAAGTTGTAGCAATTGTTATTGGTGGTGGTGATGAAGATACAATAGAACGTGGAAGAGATATAAATGTCATCAGCTGTGATGGAAATCTAACAAAGGTTCAAGAAACAATTGGGTATTATGATCCTTTACAATATCCTATATTGTTTCCGTTCGGAACATACAGTTGGGACATAGAAACAAAAAATAATGTTGGAAAAAATGTTACATGCCGAGAGTACTACAGTTATGTGCTTCAGGTACATGCTAAACTTTTTTTTAAAGAAATTTACTTCTAAAACTGTAAAAAAATAGGTCATGATTGATTATTTTTTTCAATGTAAATTCGACATAATGATCAATTTGTTTTGTTAAAATTGGGTCAACTTTTACAACAGTATGTTGTCGACAATTATGTAAAGATTGAAACAGGAAGGTTGAGATGGATTCGAAGAAATCAAAATAATATTCGGTCTGAGGTATATCAGGGGTTACAAGACGCATTGCACGATGGGGAGAATAACGCGGGTATTTAATATAACATGTTAGATTTATACATGAAGAGCATCCACTTTATGTTTACCATTATCATTTTTTTTATAATTTTCATATATTTCTATAGATAATGTTGGACAAAGGACAATATTACCATCATCATTTATTGGAAGTAAGCGAGACATGACACAAAGATATCAAGATGGTATGGCTATTGTTCTTAATGATGGTAAACCAGATATATTCCTTACAATGACATGCAATCCTTCCTGGATTGAGATAACTTCCGAATTAGGAATCCATCAAACTCCACAAGATCGACCTGATTTGCTAACAAGAATTTTTCGATCAAAACTTGAGCAGTTGAAGGATGATGTCATTAATAAAGGAGTCTTGGGGAGAGTTAGAAGTTATATGCATGCAACGGAATTTCAGAAACGTGGACTACCACATGTGCATATGCTACTCATCTTGGATACTGATGACAAGTTACGGGAACCTGAAGAGTATGATAGTGTGGTGAAAGCAGAAATACCACGACATGAGTCTGAGCCAGAATTGTATGAAGCGGTGTTAAAACACATGATCCACGGTCCATGTGGAGTATTGAATCAAAAATCTCCATGTATGAAGAATGGTCATTGTAAAAAAAGATACCCAAAAGAATTTTGCGAAGAAACGCGTCAGGGAAATGACGCATACCCGGAATACAGAAGAAGGTTTAGTGATCCAATTTTTCTAAATAGAAATAAGTCTATTGATAATAGATGGGTGGTTCCTTATAACCCATGGTTGTTGTTGAAGTATGATTGTCACATCAATGTCGAGATTTGCAGCAGTATCAAAAGCATTAAATATTTGTATAAATATGTTTACAAAGGTCCTGATCGAGTTGCAATGGAAGTTCACAGAGGTACAGGTTTGGATGAGATTCAACAATATGTTGATGCAAGATGAATTTGTGCTCTAGAGGCATTGTGGAAAATATTTAAATTCACACTTTACAAGTTATATCCCTATGTTGAAAGACTACAAATCCACTTGCCAAATCATCATCAAGTGCGGTTTTATAAGCATCAAAGAATCACAGATGTGCTAAATGATAACCAAAATGCAGTAACCATGCTCACTGAATTCTTTGCACTAAACCAAATGGATCCACATGCTAGGAATTATTTGTACAGAGAGATTCCAGAGCATTATTGTTGGCTAAAAGGGGTCAAAAAATGGAAGTGAAGACAGAGAAACCGAAAAGTTATTGGTCGAATCTATACAGTATCCCCTTCAGAAGGTGAGAAATTTTACTTACGTGTTTTGTTGTCTCATTTAAGAGGTCCAACAAGCTGGGAATACCTTCTTACACATAATGGTGCATCTTTTTTCACATTTAAAAAATCAGCTGAGGATTGGGGGTTATTAGAGAGTGATAATAATATCCGTGAATGTTTGCTTGAAGCATCAAATATGCGTATGCCATATGCTTTATGAAGGTTGTTTGTGACTATATTAATTTTTTGTGAACCAACTGATGTTAGAGGCCTATTTAATGAGTTTTATCCCTACATGGTGGAGGATTATCAAATGACAAATGTTGTTGTGGGGGATAACTTTGAAAATATGTTATTGCGGGAATTGAGGGATCTTTTGTTACTGCATGGAAAACTAATAAAAAACTACGATCTTCCAATGTTGACAACGGAAACAAATGAAATCGGGGGAGTGCTGTAATACCCCAAATTTTGCCCTAAGATTTGTCGTCGCATTTCATTGCATTTAATCAATTACTAACAAATTTGTGTAGTCGTTTGACTTTTTGCAGGTAAATATCATATGGCATGTATTTTTTTTCTAAAAAGTAAAAATGGCACAATTGGCAAGAGGACATGTGTAAGGAGTTGTGAGTGTGAGAGGTTGAGAGTTCGAATCTCACCTTAGTCACTTTTTTGTTTTTTATTATTTTTACTCTAAATGTTTCTATCTCTCATTAAAAAATAACAAAAATAGTTTTTTATTATTATTTAATTATTATTTTCGTATTTTAATTAAATCATTTTTTAAAATATTATTTTTTTCACCTTTTTGTAAATTATTCACAAAAATATCCAAAAAATCATAAAATAAAAAATATTGGAAAAAATTTTGTTCTTTTTATAATATTTTTGATTTTAGGAATCAATAGGATTATTAGTTTTTATTTTAAGTTTATTTTAATTATTTTAAATTATTTAAATTTTATTTTTTCTTAACTAATTATTTAGTTTGGGCTTTAAAATGGGCTTTAGGGACATTATTGACAATTTGGTGTTAACCCTAATTTGTTCCCTATATATACATGTGTTGCCTTGTTGAAAAAGGGGAGAATGAAAAAAACCTAAGAGGAGTGAGTGCCGTTTACCGTTATTTCTTTTTCTTCATCTATTACTGTTGTTTCTTTTTCTTCATCGTTTACCGTTATTTCTTTTCCTTCATCTATTACTGTTGTTTCTTTTTCTTCATCTTTTACCGTTATTTTTTTTCTTCATCTATTACCGTTATTTCTTTTTCTTTATCTATTACTGTTACGTTTATATATTTATAATTTTTAAATTGTTAGAGTTTATATATATATATATATATATATATATATATATATAAGATTAATTTTTGATCGAATTATATCGATACGATGTTTGCAAATTTGTGTGCATGACGCGTGACATTTGTGTTAGTTCGATCTGGTTGCGATGATCGCATTTTTGTGTGAGCAATAATACTGTTTTTTTGCTTAATTTCCTTTTCTTTGCGATAAATTTTGTTTCGTCCGATTTAGATCTGGTTGCGCTGAGCGCATTTCTGCGTTAGCAACATTGTTGGGTTATTTGACACATTTAAAATTCATTATTGCTTTATTATTATTATTATTATTAGTATTATTATTATTTATTATTATTATTATAATTATTATTAGTATTATTATTATTATCATTATTTATTATTATTATTATTATTATTATTATTATTATTATTACTATTATTATTATTATTATCATTAATTTATTAAAACTTGTTATAATATAAAAATTTGTTTTTAAAATAAATAACATTAACATCTTTTCCAAATTAATATGAAAACCTATTATTTTTAAGAAAAACTTTTTTTTAGATAAATTTAAAATAATAACTAAAATCTTTTTTTAAAATAATAACTAGAACCGTTATTTATTTTATTTTATTATTGTTCAATTCAAATTTCATTATCATATTGTATCTGCTCCTCTCATGTAACCTCGCGAACTTAACAATCGCTCTTTAAATTCTGCCTTTAAATTTCTGCTTGCATGGTTTAAATTATGACATTATCTCTCTGTTTGCATAATTCAATTATCTCACGCGTTTACCATTATTTCTGTCACATTGCACACATCCGAAGGTTAGGTCTAACTGTTTGGCCGCCGCGCCAATAGTCCGTAAAACTTCACACATTCAATTTCAAATCCTCAAAACTACAAACTACAAACCCTAATTTTCACAAATGCCTCGCCGCAGGCCAAATTACAATTTTACCCCTAGCATTAGGTCAAAGAGCCGCCGCACTCATTTTAGGGTTTCCCGCCGCGGAATCCCAAACCTAACCCTAATTCACTTAACAATTTACAACGTAGATATTGGAGTTTCTACACTCCGCGTAAGCGTGTCCCTAAGATACGTTTATTCCCCATTGAAACCTTGGCCACAGTCAAGACGTTTCTAACCTCCCTTTTGAGGGGAACTACAGTTACTCTGATTCCATTCTCGTAAGGATATGTAGGCACAAGATGCGATGTCTTGCCGAGTAAACTTAGAATTAACCCCTAAGTCTTTTTTAATTTTCAATCCTTTGTATATACCCTAAAGCAAAATAATTAATGAAATAAATTAAAAAAAATAAACAAAAGGTTCCCGTAGAGTACTACGGAAGTTTAGGGTGCTAATACCTTCCCTAAATTTAACCAACCCCCGAACCTTAGATCTCTCCCTTTTAGGTTTTTCCTTTCTTTAACCTTTCCTTCGGATAAATCAAAGACCGGTTGTAAATGAATTAAGATTCAAGTTAATCAATAGCTTGACATCCAAATTTTACCGCAACAGAAAATGGCGACTTCACTGGGGAGTCCTAACTATTGAGGGTTATCCCTATTTTGTTTATTTTTCATTATATATTTGTTTCATTAATATTTTTGCTCATTTGTATATATATTGTTCAGGGGTACCTTACTTGGAGTTACTGTGTTGTGAGATAAGTCCTACACCCGGACTTGAGCGACCTTATGATAGGATGGCTGATATATTCGACGAGGCTTATAGGGAGTGAGTCCCGACTAAGCTAAATCGAGAATCACCGCTCAGTTGAGACACTTTCGAAAATGGTTCGGTTGATCGAGTGTAGTCGTGAAAACTTTTACCGTTATCGATTGGAGTCTGTGATACTGGGAACCGTAGTACCTTTACACCATCTTGGCCTTATCTAGGACGTAGTGCGGGAACTATGTGGGAGTAGTCCTACAATGGTTGCTACGCGATACTACACTCGGACGAGGTTCTCTTGAGAATATTATCGACCCTTGAGTCAGTCGAGAAGTTGATAATATCCAAAAGATGGGCTGATGACTTTGGGCACTTTTTAGAACCCTTATTCTGCAGGTACAATTAACCTATAGTACACACCACTTTGGGAAGGGTAGACCTTGACTCCTTTCATTGTTCCTCTAAAATTAGGACCTTTGTTTGCTTATGTGCGTTTGTGCTTTGCATCCATAAAGCATCATATCATTTCTAGTTTCAAGGA